AATTCTTAGCATTTATTGAAACCAGAAGGCGTGCATTTATTTGAAGCAACCCCATGACAGAAGTAAAAAGGGTTTTCATGACCAAAAGAAAATTTATGCTCAGATCCATTGGATATCACCATAGGTATGGAGAATCAACGTTAGTAAAAATAAATTGGTATATGAGCAAAGACCTGTTAGGATTTAGGGAAGGGTGAAGCAAACCACCCTAGAGCAAGGGAAGAAAATCATATGAAAATCTTGGGGGGACAATAAAGAAAGGAAAAAGGATACCCGAGTTGGAAACAGTGTCCTAAAGTCATACTTGTTCCCTGAGAAACCAAATCTCGAGGACGAGATTTCTTTAAGGAGGGAAGGTTTGTAATAACATGGTTTTTGGCCCTTTTCTTTTTCTTTTAATTTAATTGGTTTTTGCTCTGTTTTCCTTTTTGGAGTGGTTCTGTGGCCTTGCCACCTGGGAAATCACCTTCTTTTCCTCTCCCAAGTGACTCATGATCCTCAAAACCTTACCAAGATCATGTCACTTCACTCCTTAACCAAACCCTAAAATCTTTTTCTAGGAAATATTCCTTTTTTTCTATTAAAGGAAAAACCCTATCTGCCCTAGGTTGTGAAGTAACCTATATTTCTACACATCCAAAAATCCCCAAATAATTCTTATAATTTTTTTGGTCCAAATCTTCCTAAAATATGGTAAAATATTTCATTGGTCATGTTTCTCATCACGCTCAATAAATTCATTTCCTATTTCGTCCTAAATGGCACATTGTGAAGCAAGTGCTATTTATCTTTGCCCATTTGACCCCAAACGTTTTGGACATCTTTTCCTGTCCAAATAATTGACATGTGCCAAAATTCAACTTTATTTGCCATGCCAAAGTTCCTTAGTGATTTTTCAAAGTTCCTTTCCGAGGGAAGCCTTTGTGAAGGAAGTGCTATCTATGATTATCCAAATGAGTTGAAATTTTGCACACTCCTTCATGTGCTCATATTATGACAGTCATACAAATTTCTGCCCCATCCAATCATCTATGTGAGCACATGATCAAATCTTTGCTTCTGTTAATGTTTTCCGGTTATGAAGCAAGTATAATTTATATTGCTTAAAAAATCCTGATAAATTACCAGATCATGATCCTACCCCAATAACCTCTCTCCACCAAATATGGGACCAATTCATCAAGCCAATACTCCTCTAGAATTTTTGCAAGTTTCTGTCCAAAGGAGATGTTTGTGAAGCAAGTACCACTTTGGTTTGTCCAATTAGTATGAAATTTTTACAGCATCTTAGTATGGCCAAATCACTAAGACTTGACAAATTTCAGCTCAAGTTGATTCTTGATGTGAGTGCATCATCCTAATTTAGTATTTTGACCAGATTTGGCAGTTGCAAAGCAGATACATTAAATCTTGATCCAGTTATCCTCAAAATCTCTAGGATTATAGTCCTTCATAATCTAATCACCCAGACAAACTTTTTGGACCCAACCAAGTTAGTGTTGATCACTAGTGCACGTTCAAGTTTACTGCAGTAAACTTCAGAGGTGGATTACCATTTAACCAAAGCGATTTTCACCGAGCTACCACCGCAGTTGAAACCTCCCCTGGAAGGACTAACCCCTAGACATCTTTTGCCATAGCTCGTGGCATTGTGTGCACCAGTGCACGCGGTGACCACCGTTTTGGCACGCACCGGCCGCGTCCAGGGCGTCTTCTTTCTCGGGCCCCTTCTCTGCTCGGCGTCTCAGAGAGCACGGGCCTGTCTAGCGGGTTCCTCGCATCGTCGTCGTCCTCCTAGAGCCACTTCCCCCTCCATAAGCCCCTCCATTAGCGTTCTTCGCTGCGCGCCCACGGGCGCACTATGGCCGACCGAGCACTAATGGAGCCGTGGTTGTTTCCCCTCTGCACCCTCAGCCCCTCCTACACTGTGTACCACTATGGCTCATCCGCTCCCCCTTCGCCGCGATCCCGCGCCTCCCCGTGATCGCTGGCCATCGCCAGAGCGTTGGCCCAATCCCCGCAGCGACACTCGAGCTCGACCTCCCTTGCCCGGCTATATATAGCCCTCCCTGCAGCCTCCCGAGCACATCAGCCTCCTCTCCTCCCTTCTCTAGATCTCCCTAGTCACTTCCTCGAGCACCAGAGCCTCCCCCCGACCCCCACGGTCGCCATTGCCGCCGGTGACCTCCTCCCAAATTAGCGCCAACCCAAGCTCTTATCGTCCTTCTTCCACCTCCAGTAGACCACCTGGAGCACCATAAGCCTCCACAACTCTTTGCTTTTTTCTGGGGTGGGCATTGGCCATGAGTTCCATCGACGTCTGAAGCCGCCGTCCGCCGTGGTCGCGGCCCCGCTCGTCTCCGTGTTCTCCAATGAGCATACTGCCCCAGTCGGGTGCGCCTCTCTGTGCAGCTCATTCTGGTGGGTCGGGCACCGCCAGCGATGGCCGGAGCTGGCCGTACAAGCTCCCGCACCGGTGACCTCCCGCTGGAGCACGGGCGAGCGTGGGCGAGATGATGACAACGATGACCACGCCCCTGGGGCCCTCCTATCAGCCTCTCCGCGCTGACTGGGCCGGCCCGCTGACGTGGTTAAGTGGAGGTGTACTCCAGAGAGTACGTCTTTGCTTAACGAAAACGTATTCAACTTCTTCATCGGGCGAAAAGACACTTCCTCTGCAGGGAAGCGTATTCCCAGAAAGGCGCGTTCTGTTTTTCCCATTAAGGGCCTGTTTGGGATGATTTCTTTATAGATAGGTCCCTAACAGAAAACCTCTATATCTTTTTGATCCTAACTCCAAATTAGGTGAATCTAAAGCCCACTTCTTTGTCTCGTCGAGCCCGTTCTGTTGGTTCCATTTTCACTATGGTTAGACACTGTGAAAATGACATTTTTTCCCTTGCACATAAACCTCTACAGAGTGTATATTAAATCTATCGATAGCCGTGCCCGCGGATAAGGGCCCAGTTCGTGTCGGTCACACTGTGAGTCAACAGTAATAATAATAATGTGCTTAATAACAACCACGGTTTGATGATGAGATAAGTTGGTTATGTGATCCTTGAATGACCACCGTTTGGTTAAGAGGTAACCCGTTGAGCCCAGAGTGGTTCCGTTTGTGATCCTTGAATGATCACTATTTGGTTACGAGGTAAACCGTTGAGCCAAGAGTGGTTCCGTTCGTGATCATGAGATGATCACCGTGGTATCGAGGAGACCGAGATGTTGGATATGCGTGATGTTGTGCGAGAATCGTGGGTAAAGATCAAGCTCCTTGTGGTCATTTAATGATTACTATGGTATTGTTTATACCAAGATTGATTTGATCCTGAGATGATCGTGTGATGTCCGAGGTTGGTAAGTGATGCCTGTGATGGTTACGAGGTAATCGAGCAGAATAAATGGTGCATATAGTGTCGTCATGTTGCATGTTAGTATCATCAGATATATATGTTCATGCCATGCTCATATTATTCCAGCTGTATCATGTTCATGTGGTTCATGCCATGTTATTATGATAATCTCATGATAAATTCCTGCTTAATCGGTAATTGCCATGCTATTGTTTGTCTTGAATGCTTTTGGTTATTGTGAGCTTGCAAGTACATTCAATGTACTGACCTGGCGTGTCATGCCAGTTTGCAGGTCATGCCGTGATTGCTTGATTGCTTGTCGTGGTTTCCGTTCGTGGGAGCTAGGATAAGCATTCCAGCCAGAGTCCCTGCGGAGTGGAGTTCATCACCATCGTCCCTGTTCCGCTACTAGAAGTTTTGTTTTTCCGCTGGCTTCGAGTTGTTCTGCTGCTTGCATAGAGCAACTGAGGATGGCATAGTGTCGCAGTGCCGATGTTATTCCTTGTAATGTCAGAGACCTTGTATTCATATTTGTGTAATAATAGAAAGCTAGTTTGTTCTATGCTAAGCAGTGCCGTATTCCAGAAGACTTCTCCTGGATCTCTGAGCTGGAATACGGGGCGTTCCGGTTTCTCTGAGCTGGGGTGCCACAAGTATGAACCCTAGGCATTGTCTCTAAGCATTGCAATACCGTTTGTGCTCTGTATCACTTGCTACCTTGTTGTTTTTTATTTTTTGGATTACAAAAACCTATATCTACTATCCATACTACACTTGTATCATCATCTTGTCGCTGAATTAGTGGACCTATATAATTTACCATTTTATTTGGTGTATTGGGGACACAAGAGATTTCTTGTATTTTACTGCAGGGTTGTTTGAGAGAGACCATCTTCATGCTACACCTCCCACGGACTGATAAACCTTAGGTCATCCACTTGCAGGAAATTTGTTGCTGTCCTACAAAACTCTACACTTGGAGGCCCAAGAAAGTGTACAAGAATAAAATTTGCGTAGTAGACATCACACTCTTTTACTTATTGCTATTTACATTTCGTTGCAACTCCACCATCACAAATCACTACACTATTACGCTTTTAGCACTTACGGGATGGATTTGTCATTTATCAACTAAACCAATAGGGGATAAATGGACATGCACATTCAGTTTCTAAAATAAATTAACCAATGCATTTAAAAAATTAAAGTGGAAGTAAGAGTTCGTAGGGTGGATGGGAATCTCTCTTTATTAGTGCATGCCCAAAATTTGTTTCCAAATAATTATACATATGTAATCAAATCCACAATAATACATCTAGGAAAATATTCATAATTAAACAAAATAGTTTATTCCACAGACGATAAAAACATGCTTGATGTACACACTGATAGGTATTCTACAACATGGAAATGTAGCTAGGTATACACTGGCGGGTGGTGCATACACATGGTAGTACACATACAGACAATACTAGCACAAGAGAGGCATGCCAAGCAAGACAATGCATACAAACTCTCTTGTGATCATGCTGAAAAATGAAATGCGGCGCAAACCAATACAGATGTTGGTATATATCAACCGATCTTCTGGTGGATGATTATTTTATGCATGCACACATGTATATGTTCTCGCGAGTCATATGATCGTCAATACTTCCACATGCCATCTATGCCCATGTTCATTGACAAGATCTCGCCGGAGGTTGCTATGCCACCGTTACCCTGGTTGTTGTTGCTCAACCAGGTCACAACGTCCTCGTGAGACACTATGGACGATGAACCATACCCAGGATCGACTCCAACCATGAAGCCCTGGTCTACACTCATCTCCATCATCTGTTGTTGCTGGTGGTGGTTGTAGGATGACATCGATGACTGTGGTGAGGCCATCATTTGTTGGTAGTGCTTACCAAAGTCATGGTTGTTCATCATCGGAAGTACCGCACGGCCCATCGCAAACGATCCGGCCTCGAAGGTATGCATCTGGTACAAAGAAGTTTCAGGCAACGGAGGCGGTGGTGCCAATGAAGACAACATGTCATAGTCCATGAGAGGAATCAATGTACTAGATTTGAGAAAGCTCTGTTGTTTCTCTTCCCCCATGGACATGGGAATGGACATGTCAGATGATGGCATCATCACCTTCTTCAGCCCAGTGCTTTTATGGAAGATTCTACAAACCACATACTCCCCCTACCAACATAGATAAACTAAATTAGTGCAAATCAACAACGGTCGGTAGCTAGATATGTATGTACATGCATATTCATGAGTCATGAGTACTAATAGTTAATGTTTAAAAATATCTTGGAAGATGCATTAATGGTGGTGGCTTTGGCGATGTCAGCAGGCAGGCCGGGTGTGGGTTGCTTACCGCTCTTGAGTCTGTACTCGTGCATGATCCAGTTTGTCTTCTCCCCCTTGGGGGCCCTTCCCTTGTAGAATACGAGCGTCTTCTTCATGCCGATGATACTCATGGTCGGTGGGTGGATGATCTCCTTGTCCTTTCCGGTGGCCTTCCAATAACCGGCCTTCGTGGCCCGGTTGGTCCGTATCCCGGTGGAGTACTTGAGACCCTTCTGGGAGAAGAAGTATCGCCCCTTCTCCCCCATGTTTACCTTATTTAGGAGATCCCATGGCTCACATTTGTTCAGGTCCACCTCCTTGACCACCGTGGTGTCGAAGACTTTCTTCAGCACCTTGGGGACCAAGTAGAAGGTGATGATCTCCATGTCCGTCGGTTGAAACCTGAACCCTGGTGGCAGATTCAGTTGTTGTTGATGATGTTGAACTTGAAGGTGGTCTGCCATGGCGAAGGCTTTGTGGGAAATGGGTGCTGAGGTGGAACAAATATTGGGGACAACAATGGATATGTGTGTATCTATGGAAGGAATTCAGTGATATCTAGAGATATGAGAGTGAGGTGCCTAAATAGGAGCTAATGCGTGCACCGGCAAGACACTTGCGAGAGAAGCCTTGGCATTTTCTAGGCTTTGTTTATTTGTTCTTACTGGCAATGGATGGATGGATGGACGGATGTGAGCTAGCTAGATAGATAGAGATAGTTGGCTATACTTTACAACTGTGTGCTACTTATCTTGCTGTGGGCGGCATGCCCAGGTGGTGACAGGTGCTACGTTTCATGAACTCCAAGCCATGACATGCCAAATTGAACACTTTTGGTTTGTTCTCGTTCTTGTTAATGTATTCATATCTACTGATCATGCTATGCTCCACCCTATTGCTAACGTTTGGCTTTGCGATGCAAAGCAAACATATGTTGTTTTCCATGTGTCATATGTATGCTTCCACCATATGAATTCATATTTATATACAAGATATGTAGGTAAAGTCGGTTAGTTTTCATATTCTAGCCTATGCATTCATATACTATATATAGCCTCAGTTGCTCAGATTTACCCACTTCATGATCTGTCGTGTACCGGTGTAGCTCGCATAGATTGTCTATGTTCTCTCTCATATATTATAATATTATTTTGTAACTACCATTTCAACAATAATTCAAATAGTTTATAATTGCAACGGCTGTAATCCTAATTAATGACCACTTTTCAAATGTCTATATTGCGAGCACTCGTGCTGAGACATCGAAGCTTAACCTGTGGAGAAAACTCTCATCCCCTTCCATCTGCAAACAATTGACACATGTATCATTTAGCATCAACAAAGATAATACTACCTCCGTTTCAAAATAATTAAAGTTTTGAGTTTGTTTCAAGTCAATATTGTTTAAGTTTAACCAAGTTTATATAAAAAATATATTGACATCTAGAAGACCAAGTTAGTCTCATGAGATATTTTATGAAATATAGCTGTACTAAGTACTCGGTGTTGTAGATCTTAGAACCTTTTTCTATAGATTTGGTCAAATGACTTAGAACAAACATAAACTTCAAAGCCCCAATTGGTTGCAAAGTATTTTTGTAGTATTGTTGCAAGACCACTATTTCTAGAAAAATCGTAGTCTAAAATATTTTGAGGTGTTTGGATAAAAGAAATACCACAACCTTATAAACTATGGTTTTACCAAAACTGTAGGCCTAGCTTGGCAGCATTATTTTCTCAAAACCATAGTAATCTAAACCCACAGTATTCAGTTACCTAGGAGATGAATATCTAGTTTCTAAAAACCACATTTATCCCCTAAAATGACCACATTTTTTCAGTTTAGGAAAAATTTATCAAGGCCTCTTTCTTAAATACAACATAAAAACCATGGTATTGGAGGTACTATGGTTTATAAACTATGGTGTTTGCTGAAGTGAAGCACCTCAAAGTTTTAAAATATGTGTTTTCTTAGAAAACCATAGTATTCTCCAAATACTTAAAAAAAACTAGGTTGCCAAACGCAGCTGTAGCTTTTTTGGAGTATTAATGAAACAACTATGGACCTAGTGTCGGTGTACTAGAATAGGGGTACCCTAGTACCCCGAACTTGTGCACGGGCAGTTGCAGCACCCCGCGGCAAGGCTTGCCGGGAGAACGCCAAGATCCTCCGTGGTTCCCTTGGAGCCATTCAAGAACAAAGTATGTAAGCTCAGGAGACAAGGCCCCGGCAAGAGGAGCTTGCCGGGAAGGCCAACCAAGGCACTCCAAGGAACTTGCCGCGATGCGCCACGCGCTCCAGCAAGGCAACAAGGCCCCGGCAAGAGGAGCTTGGCGGGAAGACCAACCGAGGTACCACGAGGCCCGGTGAGCGACAAGCTTCCGGACCCGACAAGATAACAGCAGCGGCAAGGCGCTTGCCACGGCAGGCTGCCGCTTTGTGCCCACGCTCCAGCGCATCCACCAACGTGTCGCTCTGGGGCCTCTCCAGGCGCGCGTGGCGGGAGGCTGTGCAGCCAGCGGTGCGCAGTGGCATGCGAAGCTGACAAGATCGCCATCGTGGCAAACGGTGGCGCCCCTAACGGTCCTTTTCTGCACTGTTTGGGCGACTCAGACGGGCATTTAATGCCCTTGTCCCTTGCCGTCAGGGTTAGGTAGGGTGCACTGTACAAGTAACTGTACCAACCACCTCACTTTTTACATTTGTACCCTTCTCTGCGTTGCCACCTGTCAGTGACCCCTTTAGCGTATAAAAGGAGGCCCATGCGCAACGTAGAGGGGGTTCGACTGGTTCGGAACCCAGAAAAACACTACGCTCTCTCTCTGGAGCAAGAACACAAGATAATCAAACAAGCAGCAGTAGGAGTGTTATCTCTCCGGAGAGCTCCGAAGCTGGGTAAACTGCTCGTGTGCTTCGCCTCGATCTGCTCTTCGTGTGATATCCGCCCCCCGCCGAACCGAAAGGGGCTCGGTCCGTCGGCCCCATAGGTGTTCATGGATCAGTTTCCCCGACATCTTTGGCGCGCCCAGGTAGGGGGCGTCGAGATTGTGTGAACCTGATCCGGCGTTCACACGAGCTAGATCTTCATTCCCTTCATCAACATGCCACCGAAGAAGAAGACTTCGGCGGCAGCCGCTCCGTCCACGTCACTTCCGCCACCGTTGGAGCGAACGGGTGGTGGAATGGACGCCGACGGAAGAATGGACGTCGACGAGGAAGCTTATGATGCTGCCAGGTCCAAGGACAAGGCTGCACAAACCTCGGTGACTGTACATGTTCCGCGCCACTCTCAGGAGGCGCAAGACCAACAGCGTCATGGCACTCGCAGTGCCATACGCATGATAGGCCAAGACCAAGCTGGTGGATCTCAGGGCGCTCAAGACCAGCATGCACGCTAGCGTGCTGGCGCGAGCAGGGCACAGTTGCCTGGACGGGATACTGCTCCTTCTAACATAGTTAGAAGTCCGAGCACGTCCCGCTCCTCGCGCCGCCCGCCCCTGCCACCCACCACTCCAGCAGAAGCTTTGGCGCGAGGTTAACTGCTCCTAGATTTCCCTCCGACGTCGGACAAGATCAACGAATGGAGGGCCACCATTCAGAGTCTCATCGGCTACACCAACGGCGACACTCCACGGCGGCCGAGCGCGTCGCTGCCGCGGCAGGGTTGCCGGGCGCGAGCCGGTGGCGACGAAACGGGTGGAGGTGCAACTACCATGCAATCACCACCCCGAAGGCCAAGATCGCCGACTCGCCGGATCCACCTCGACAGCGACTCCACCACATCGTCGGATCCACGAGCTCGTCGCGATCAGCGCCAAGTTCCCCAAGATCAACACCAAGGATGCTGAGGGGCAGTCTGCTCCGGCAAGCCTTATGGTTTGTTCCATTGAAGCAGACGCTCCCGACAAGTTTTGCTCCGGCAAGCTTCCCGGGGAACATCAAGCTCCGGTAGGGCCGCAAGTCCTTGCCGTAGAAGCGGATGTTCCCGCAGCAGCAGATGTGCCTTTAGTCCTTGTTGTCGAGCCACAAGCTCGAGCATGGGCATAGCAGATTGTCCATTTCCTTCAGACAGGAGAACTTCCCGAAGAGCAAGAAGAAGCGGAAAAAGTAGCCCGGCAGTCAAGTATGTACCAGTTTGTCGATAGCATACTGTACAGAAGAAGACTCAACGGTGTGAAATTGAAGTGTATTTGCCGAGAAGATGGACAAAAGCTGTTGGCAGAGATACATGGAGGCATATGTGGCCACCACATTGGCGCAAGAGCACTTGCCGGCAAAGCTTTCCGGCAAGGTTTCTTTTGGTCGACAGCCCTCCAGGATGCAACTACACAAGTAACCAAGTGTGAAGCGTGCCAGTTCCACTCCAAACAGATACACCAGCCAGCTCAAGCTCTCCAAACGATCCCTTTATCCTGGCCATTTTTGGTCTGGGGGCTCGATATCCTCGGCCCTTTCCCCCGAGCTGTCGGGGGCTTTGAGTACTTGTACGTGGCAATCGACAAGTTCACAAAGTGGCCGGAAGTGCAGCCAGTGAGGAAGGTGACAGCACAGTCAGCAGTCAAGTTCCTCAGGTCAATTTTTTGCCGTTTCGGGATCCCTAACAGGATCATCACTGACAACGGCACGCAATTCACGAGCCGCACCTTCATGCAGTACGTCCAAGACCTTGGCGCCAAGGTCTGCTTCGCTTCTGTTGCTCATCCGAGAAGCAACGTTGCAGGAAGAGAGGGCAAATGCTGAAGTGCTGCGCGGGCTCAAGACCAGAACTTTCGACAGGCTGCGCAAGTGCGGAAGAAACTGGATCGAGGAGCTGCCGGTGGTTCTTTGGTCGATCATAACGATGCCAAATCGAGCCACTGGCCAGACGCCTTTCGCTCTAGTCTATGGAGCAGAGGCAGTTCTCCCCATGGAACTCGTATACGGATCGCCTCGAGTGCTTGCTTATGATGAGCTTGAGCAAGAACAGCTTTGACAAGACGACGCGCTGCTCCTTGAGGAAGATCGTCTTCAGGCTGTTGTACGAGCTGCTCGATACCAGCAAGCTTTGCGCCGCTACCATAGCCGCAAAGTTAAGGCTAGAAGCTTCGAGGAAGGCGACCTTGTTCTTCGGCGCGTTTAGTCCGCCAAGAATTCCAACAAGTTGACGCCAAAGTGGGAAGGCCCTTATCGGGTGAAATGAGTCACAAGGCCCGGCGCTGTCCGCCTTGAGACCGAAGATGGCATTCCGGTGAGCAACTCCTGGAACATAGAACATCTTTGTACGTTTTTCCCGTAGGGCGCAGTTGCCGGAACCCGTTCCGGCAACCACCTTTTGTACAAGTCTTGCCGCTGTTGCATGTAATCCTTTGTACAAAGCCGGGCGCAGATCCCATGCATAAATAAAACCCCATGTGCTCCGCACAACTTGTCCATTTCATGCATTAGTTTCTTGCATGCGTTATATAACACTTTGTGCAGCACCTA